AAAACTGAATAGTATCTTTCTAGCATGATCAAAACAGCTTTATAGTCATCTTTTAGTTTTAGTTATCAAACCCTCGGCCTACAGAAGTACAGATCATACTCATCATAGTTCTAAGCTGTGTATTTTAATGAAGTGGTAAGGCATTTATAGATTCTGCCGATTTTTTACTAAATTTGTACTTTGTTCTGTCTTGCTTGCCAAAAACATATTATTATTAATAGTCTATTATTAGTTGAAATAGATGAAACTGATTTTGTTTGACAAATTGACTTTTGAATTAAGAATGAAATGCATTATGTATGTAAACTGAAAAATGTTAATCAAGTGAATTTTGGTACCTTTAGTTACTTATAAAATGATAGTCATCATGATCATTCATCATGGTTTGAACCATATCCTTTTTTTTCACAACACATGTGAAAGTAGGAGCCTTTGGCTGAAATCATTATCTTCAGACATGTGTAATACTTCATTTATCAAGAATCTCTTATCAGTTCTTCAAATTGCATTTCTTTTTGTTATTCCTAAAATAATATTCTATTTATTTTTAAACTATATAACTTGATGCCATGATGACTTATTGATCTTATAATGAATTAAACAATACTAAACTCAGCTTGATTAACAGACTGTAGTTTACCTATACACATATTTATTCTAATATTCAGAAAGCAAATTTGTCAAATAGTTTGTTCTTTATATTTTAATCAATAACTTACTTTCAAATCATTTCCCAAAAGGTGTTCACAAAAATTAAGCCAGGAACCAAAATAAACTTTTTTCTTCATTTACTCCAACTGTACCCAGCCATTTAAAAACATCATTGACTTTCATTCTTGTCCCTTGACTCATTACTCATAGTAATAGTAAAAGTAATTACAGTTTCAGCATTCATTAGGTCCTTAGACCTACCACTGATTCTTAACATTGCAAAACATCCATAGCTGGTTGCAGTCTTATACATGCAACTCATTGCTCTGACTCGGCTTTGCATTAACTGCCCTGATTGCTCACAGAATTCTGACCAGAAACTGGAGCATAGAGCTGGGATCAAACCCACACCTCTCTGCTCCAATCCTGGTAGTATGAACTCTAACCACTGGGCAATCCTGCCCACTGTCAGTCATGAATCCATTATCCAGAATGATTTCAAGATATGATATACATCTAGAAAATTTGGGGCTGAGAATCATAGCATGGTTGGTTTATGGTGACCTTGATGATTTTAACTATCATCATATTGTCACTATTACCTTTTCGTCATTAACACCATCACATTATCACTATCTCACTGCAAAACTATAAGTGCTGAAGAGCCAAACTATGGGCTTTCTTAATATATGATAGTCTTCAATTGCTATAATTTCAAGATGACAATATTTGATTTCAGATATATTTGAATGTTGATCAATCAACATGACTAGAACAACAGAAGAAAAGCCACGTCCATTTCTCAATAAAGAAGCACGATACCAATGTTGGAGTGCCAGAGATGAATTTTTTGCTTGTCTTGATAAAAGTGGTGAGTGCCTATAATTAAGTGTATTTTGACATTATAGGGGCACACACTTCAAATTGAAGTTTAATGTTTACTTTATCCTATTGAGTTCCTCTAAGGTGTCCAACGGCAGCATATTACCATATAGGTAGGGTCAGTGGAAACTTTTGTCCTGGCTTAAACCGTGCGATGAAAGGTGATTCACAGAAGCTTCCTGTTTTGTACATCGCGCCAAGCAGCCAAATGAAGTAGTATATTTTATAAGAAAGGCAACACAATTTTAATAAGTAAGAACTTTTTAAGATTAGGGTTTTTCTATCTTGAATGTCAAAACGGTTCAAAGCACCCTGTCAATTGTTATGTTACCCCATTTTATGGTGATCTATTTGACATTAGGGTTTTGAAAGATTCTTTCTTTACTTGTTTTAACTGAATATTTATTGGCAGGATTGCTAGTCTTTTTGATAGTTAACAAACGTGTAAAATATCCCCAACACTTTCTGCTTTCTTCCAGATGAAGCTGCATGCTCAAGTCTGCGCAGCAAGTTTGTAGAAGTGTGTCCCAGCACTTGGGTCAATTATTTCAATAAGAAGCGATTACGGGAGGAATATAACAAAAAGCTACAATTTGGATATGAACCTGTTGATGAGATTAAAGTTTGAGCGTAAAATATATTAGACATTAGTGTTAAAAATATTTTGCGTGTATATACAATGAGCTAGTTTTGAGTTGCAACGATTCAATTCTCATTTCAACTATATTTCACAGTGTCATTAGCATGTCTATGGTCATGCACTTTAGTATGCCATGTATTTTAGATTAAATTTAATATTGTATTTCCGTTCAAATACAAGTTTGATATGAAAAGAATAACATATATTGTACGAGTGCGTTGCTATATCGCTCCCTCAGCTCGTGACGTGTCCGTATCGTAGACACTTGCTTAACTCTAGCAACTCCTGTCAGCACCTGCATCCTGCTGTGTGAATTTATTGAATCAACTGCAATATGTTCAAAAATTATACTGAAGATGCGATTATAATTGTCTTGCTATCATTTCATCCCTAATCTAACAATAAAATATGTCAAATATTTTGGTCATGTTCTTTTTTTTGGCAAATCAAATAAATATTGGGTTGCAATGACTGGTGGGTATCAGCATTCGACATGCGCCGTTCCTTCATATGCACTATCTTCACTGTCACGTATAAACTTTTGAGAGTAATGAGGGCATAAATCATATTAATATTTTATTATTAACAAATTTGCTACAGAGCACCAGACCACTGAGTAGTTAAAACTAAATTCTATAGTATCTTATTCGCTGGTAGGTCATGTTTGACGATCAATTAGGACAACAGCCAACGTAGTGAGTCTACCTATCAGCATCTGTCCTCAGATCTTTTAGTAGTCATCCTTAGCACGCTTAAAATATGTACAAGATATTTAACAAGTGTCACAATTAAAGAGTAATCAACATCGAAGCTCAAGTCTACTATATACATAGCTTTGAGTACTGCAGCATCCCTAGGGAGCAAACTTGTCGAATTATCAAGCACTGGAAACGAAGAAACAAGCGATGCTTCCGTGAACATCGCTCCGCCTCAACTCAATTACGCTTTACATACGCGATGGGCTAAAACAGTACAAAGATCACCTGTCAAGACACCATCAACACATACATGCTCAGTAAAAATAAAGACAGGGATTTCGCATAGTCATGTTACGATCACAGTTAACGTAAAATTCGAGAATGAGAATTTTAAAGTGGCCAGATCCAATGCCGCGACAACGATTTGCTAATTCTAGAAACGGCTAGCTTACCCTGCATAGCGCCAAGCTATTGACAACATTAACCGTACATTTTCTTACAATTTACATGTGGATTCTTCGAATTAGAGTAACAAGATGCAATGGCCTTCACAATAAATTGAAAACCTCTACTAAAGCAGCAGAAAACATTTAACATCGCGTTACAGATTCTAATAATTTACATCGGATTACGATTTTGTGCCCCTAATGTAGCTACTTTAACATTAACATTGACTTATTAATATCGTGGTATTCTTACAATCGTTACGTATGGCATCTTAAGCGCAATATTGCATAAAAGCTGAAGCACGTGTAGCCGCTCAAAGAGGAAATCCTCAAACATAGAAACCTCGCGTCATGCCTCTGTGCCAGCGAACAGAATTCTTAGCGTAATGCAAGGTAACCGAGAAGAATAGGCCAGCCATTAACTTAACACTTCAATCAGCGTCATCACATAGAAATACGAATCGTGATGAACGCCTTGGCTCTGTCATTGCGTGACAGGAAGCGAATGAATTCTTGACCAACATAGAAGACGTAGGAGGAAGCTCTCTAAATCATCAACGCATGTGAGCTGTTCGTTGTTCAAGTTAACTGTTGTAGTACAACAATATCAAATTCCTACGCTATTGCACAAGCCTCGAGGCATCAACGAAACAAAAACAGCAAATTACCGAGTTGTTTGTAGGCCTAAATGTAAGAGTAATTAACAAACGTTTGCGGTCATGGAAATAACAAATAAATATACTTTCATTGAGATAATGAAAGATCGATTTCTTTAATTCATAGGAATAAAAAGTTCAAGGCTACAAAAGCAACAACACGATAAAATGGAGTTGCCACATACAAGCGTTCGAAATTGTTTTGTTTGCAAAAACAGACAAGAACGAGAGAAATTTAATATTATTAAAATTAATCATAGGGAAAAAACAGCCGTCGGATTCTTGACACCGAAATGGGCTTTGATTTAGTCAATTGATCACCTATATTCAAACATTCATGAGCTGCAGTTTTCAAAAATGGATAGCCAATCGAACAAACTAATTAATAAATCCACAACAATATTGCTTTCTTTACAGTCGTAATTGACCATTGCACAGGAATAATGATCTGTTAGGACAGGGTACGAGTATTATTGTTTTAAAACATTCACAAGATGAACTAATAGCAACAATAAAATTTATATAAAAATGGAGTGAATAGCACCAGCAAAATTGCTGTCAAAAATTTACGCGATAGGAAGAAGCGCTTATAACAACATAGATATTCCCTACACACACTGCAATTATCACTTCAATTTAAAGATGCATGATGCCGCCGCTAAAAAACAAATAACTTTTGCACAAATTCTCCCAACACATTTGAAAAAAAAAAATAATTGTTACAGCTACTGCGACCAAGATAAATCCTGGGTTTATCCTGGAAGATTTTTAGGTATGAATCGGAAGCCTGTATTGCCAATAAACTTACAGTAAACAACGTTCAATTACTATTATTTGGCACGTACACAATCCATGATAAAAATTACTAAGAATAGTGAGCAAGTGAGAATAGTTTTGAAAGACGAAGCAAGATACAGCAGCAAACAACTACTACTAAAGATAGCAGTACGATTTCCTCAAGATCTTCAACACAGAAATTCGATGGAAAAAATGTATTTTTTTCGGTAACAAGTTGTAGTATCCAAATTTTAATTTTTCCAAATAACACATCTTTTATTTGAACAGAAATTTTTGAAATGGTGATGTTCGTGTATCATTCCCAAGTAAAACCTTTACGACTCGTCACTGGTCGCAACAGAAGTTTATGACCTGACACCGTACAACCCTCATACTTCCATATTGTTTCTACCAATGAACATTATTTGTGTTCTTACCACTCGAAAACTGGAGACTGTTCTTTCACTATCGTAACTTCAAAACGAAACACTGCAATTTCTTCATTTCATCAGAACAAGATAAGTAAGATACCACATAACAAGTGTACATTGCACAAGTAACTTGAGTATCAAGTAGCTAAATTAAGATATTTTAGGGACGACAATTAACCTGCAACTTGATTTTTTGAGACTCATTCTTACCATAAAAAATCGGAATGGAAGAAACTACCATTGAGTGCAATAGTTATTCGGGATTGAAATATTATATTCGGGACTGTTATAGTTGCGCTAGTAATAGCCGAAGGGTATTGATCATTCAAGCCATGTAAATTATCTCTACTGTCTGTAGATATTTGTCGGGTTAAAAACGTCGCGGTGCTACCCTGTGCTGCAAGCTAGTCAGCTACAAGCTCCAATTTGCTAAAAACTGTTAAAATTTAGCGCGACTCAACACTCGGTTCCCCAATTATAATTGTAGACGTGTTTTTAAATGCAGTAGTTAGAACCGAAATTTGGTCTGTATTAAGAAAACTTGAGAGAACTGATGTGATGAACTTGTGAATCTAGTGTGAATACATCATATAATAACTGCTTTTGAGTAGCTATCGTTGTAATGGAGTTCTTTACGACAAAATAAAGTCATTTTCGCCTGGCCTGACAACAGGTCACAGCGCTGTAGTGAGCAAATAATTTCAAAATAATAACCGCTGCAAATCTGAAATAACTTAACATAGAGATCACAACATGCATTCAGCCAGCAAGAAGAACCAAAGGCTGCATCATTAAATAGGCTTAACGTGAAGAGAGAGCGCGCAATTGTGTTGGTGATTACAATCAACAACATATAACAAGAGTCAAAACAATAACAGTTAAACAATAAATAGAATTACATGATAGTAAAATAATCACATAACCATTCGGTAAATTTGAGAATACAAATCATATAATGGCTGAGAATTTCAAACTTGAACAAATAAGTCATAACGAAAGACAATTTTTACCGAATACACAAATACACAACACTGACTGACCACTGAAGTGAGTGGCGCTCCTTCTACCTCTGGAAACGAAATTAACATAGAAACCCATCTAATGGGAATGCCCCAATTACTATAATAAATATTTATAAAAAGACCGCAATGAGATTCGTAAATTCAGCAATGCCGGTACACCACAGATGAGCAGACGACCAAAAAAAAAGCCTTTTTAAAAATAATCTCAGTTATAATAATTCATGTTATTAACTTCCAACTCTTAGTCGGCTTTCAATCTCGAGGAAAGTTAGCAACTTGGCGCACTTAGAGGCGGTATTGAGATGATTTTAAAGCTTAATGTACAAGCATGCGGCCCAGAAAAACTACAAGCAGATGAAGAACATGAACAATCGGCAGAGCCACTACGGAATTGAGTGTCTAGATGATAGCACAACTCACAAGTGCGTTTTATACAATTATTCACTATCTATTACTTACAGAATGGTATACAAGCTCTGCGCATACGATTGCGGCAGAATCTAGGGCGACCATGCAAGCGACGAATTCGGTTAAGACATCAACTTGCATCAGCACCCTTAATTGCACATACACTCGTACTCATTTCAGAGCTATCCTGCTGAAACGCTATCAATCGAAAGGTTTCCTACATGGGGGTGATTATTTTTTTTAATTATTGATATTCAGTATATACTGAGATTCTGCGAGACTACTCAGACTTCCACATATCTAAAACTTTGAGTGAGTTGGTAACAATGGCAAGCAAGATGAATATTATTCTTCTATCACTGAATTCATGGCAAAACAAAAGAACAGTTTGCTTTTTAATCACTGACGCCTTCTCCTGATTTTTTCGGCTTTGGAGATGTAGATACTAGCTAACTATAGTCGAGGCAGGCGTAGTACTACCATTACTAGTATTATTGACACTATTGTTCTCCTCGCTGCCTGATAGTTCACCAGCACACGCATCAAGACCCTCCTTGTTAGCGTCGATGAGGTCGGAGGTGGCGATGTTCTTCATGGCGTTGAGCTCCATGAGCTTGCACCAGTTGCGGTACTCGTTGGCTTCGTGCGACAGCTGTTCACTGGGGATGCTGGCGTCGTCCGCGTCGTCGATTGCCTCCCTCGCCATCCGCAGGTCTTCTTCTCGGTGCTTGCCAGTCCTGCTGTACTTGTAGTGCTGCGTGTGCACCTGCAATTTGAACAATTCATTCCACCAGAGATCTGACGTTGAAATAACATGGAATAAATGTTGTTTCAGCGACATTGGCTTGGACGGTAACAATTGTTAAAAAAAACAGAAAAACGAACTACTTGCATAACGCTCCAATTTAAAAAGGCATATGTAAATACTGAAAGTGTATTGACGTTCTCAGATTCAGCCCATTGCAATTCTGGATATAAACTTCCCTAAACAGTGAAATATTAGTTAGCCGTGACATATAATAATCTCGCATCACTCTAAACTACACTGACTTTGACATGTTGTCTGAGGAGAGTGGAAGTCGGGAAGACTTTATTGCATTTGAGGCAAGGCACGCGGCCCTTCATGTGAGTGTAGCGCAGGTGCTCCTTCAGAGAACCTCGTATCTTGAAGCGCGTGCCGCAAATAGTGCACTCCCAAGGCATGAAGTCCTTGTGCGTGTCCAAATGCACCAAGAAATCTGCTTTACGCAACACAATGGTGCCACAGCGACCACACTTGTGCTCGCCATCCACTTGATATTCTTCTAATAATTCCTCCACCTAAAACATCCATAAAAATGACCATTAGAATAGATGACAAGCAGCTTCCACCAAACATGCAACGCTAATTAAAATCAATATGAAAAAATATAGAGGTTTCCATGAATGAATATCTTAATGACGTACATTCCAGAGAATATAATCCAGATTAGATGCTCTTGCAATAAATTTTGCTTTTTAGGGACTAATACTGCGAGGACCTGACTTCAAACTCACCTTATTGCCGTAGAGTTTGTGCTGCACGATGTCCGTCACACTGACGTAACACTCAAGCATGTACAAGCAGTTAGCCTTACACTGCTCTTCGCCATGCTGTTGACTCTCTTTTGGATTTTTGAAACCGTGACCGCAATCCTTACACCAATACCTCATTGACTTGATGTAGTGACTCCATTTGAAGTCTTTTGCTCGTAACTTTGGCACAAATTTCTCTTTCTTCAACGTGCGGATGACGACCGAATTGTAGTTATGAAGCACTTTATGACCAGCATTTTTTCGCACGGGTTTCTTAAGGGCAAGCAATGCACTTTGACTGAGGGAGCTCTTATCTCGAGAGTTCGGTGCGTCAGGATCCATGGAATCAGAATGTTGTAGTTGGGCGGTCATGGTGGCTATTCGCTCTTCCATTGCTTCAGGCTCATCAACGTTTTGATCTTCCAACAGCAAAGAAGATTTCAGAAGCACGTTAGCCAAGGGGCCTTCTTGTTCAGATGCCATCTCTACCCATTGCTGCGTCAGCTGCTCTTCCAACTCTGATTGCTTAATTTGATCTTCAATTAATTTTTGCCGCGTGTGTTGACGCTGTCTTACCATCTTTGCCAACTTCACTCTTTTGGGACCAACAAAAGATCCGTCAGGTCCTCTAAAACGCTTGGCTGGCTTCAGAACCGCAAGTTTTGGAGATTCATCAACATCCGTGTCAGAAGAATCAGAAGATTCTACTGACGTTGTAGGGGGAGTTAGAACATCAGCATTCACTGGTATGACAACACCGTCTGGCTGGGACGTTGAGGTATCTTGCAAGCTTTTGTCTTCGACAGGTGGTTCGATTTGTGGTTGAGATTGGGGAAGAGGCTGCTGGTCCTTGTGATCTACTTTGCTTTTAGGTCCAGGTCGGGCACGTTTCTTCCGCGGTTTTTCAACATTGCTGGTAGACTTTGCATTAGATAGGTTCTCTTGCTTATGAGCTTCTCTCTTTTTTCCTGAAGCACCGCTAGATTTTGGAGGTTCGTTAATAGGCATGAGATTGTGCTGAGGTGATACTACAGGAGGCTCAGTAGCTCTAGGTTTCAGGGGAAGTGACAGAGGTGAGGTCTGATGCAGGGGATACTTCACGACAGAAGGAGATGGGTGAGGCGCAACTGGGCAATTTCCTGGAGCGTTACTTCCATAATAATAAGACTGCGAGTAACCTTGAGCTTGCGGAGAGCTCCAGGAAGGCCAAGCTGATTTACCATCACCTCGACCAGGTCCAGGATACCAATGCCCCTGACCTGAATACGAATTTGGCATGGGACGGCGGTTATCAAATCCGCTGGGTATGTATTGATTCGGGTACCTGGAATGAGATGGGTATGGTGACGCGCCAGGTATTTTGTTGTTAGGGCTTCCAGACTGAGGGCTCATCATGGGCGAAGATGCACCACAATTTTGTTGAGAAGCGTACTGCTGTTGGTGATAGCCGTACGCGCTACTGCCTCCACTGTTTGAATTACCTGTTGAAGGATACCCTGCAGGCCACGACCCTCGGTAAGGGCCAGGTTGTTGTTGCTTCGATGGAGATTGATGAGGCAGTCCAGTCTTGTCATTATAATCTGCACCTTGAGATTTCTGCTGCTGTCCATAGTACTGTTGCTGGTAAGGGCTCAACTGCTCTGAATGATGAGGAGACGCAACAGAAGATTGAGGAGGAGTTGCAGGAGGAGGTGGCACGTTTTTGCACATCTGTGGCGAAGGGCATGCACGAACATGAACGCCAGTCGGAGTGGAGGGCCATGAAGCTTGATGGGCGTTTGATCCTGGAGATGCTGATGAATCTTGAAGGTTGTGCCGAGGGTCCCCAGGTTCATCCTCGTCACCTATGTCCTCTTCACCAGCTGATGGATGTTGAACTTCTTCATTTGCAGATTCATCAGGTACCGATCTACAAGTCCCAGGGGGCGTTTTGTGTTCCAGCGAATCTCTTTCACTTGGCATTGCAGTCTTGTTAGCATCATAGATCTCGCAACCATATTTCGATTCATTGGCATTATGATCTCCCTTTGCTATGCCTTCATTTTGCACAGGTTGTTCAGCATCGGTGCTGCAATAGGGATTAACAGGGCTGGAAGTGCTGCCTTGAACTTCCGCAACACCAGCACTGAGATCTTGGGAATTGTCCACGGGAGAGGTATTCTTCCTTTCATTTTCAGACGTATACACAGTATATTTGAACTCTTCCATCTCATTGTTACAGGGATATTGTGTGGCATGGGAATATTCGGCCTGTTCTGTTGCAGCTTCTGACATATTCAAATTGTCTCCAAGGGGAGCATCATTTTCGACTTGATCGTCATGCAAGTGGTTCGACATTCCCGAAGAAGACACATCCTCCTGGTCAATGGTTGACTGCACCTCAGGTTCCTGCCTTGGATCTTCAGCTCTTGAATAGTTATCTTCATTCATAGCAGAAGCTTCTTTTAAATCATCTGCTGCCACAGAACTACCGCCCTCAACTATCTCATCGCGCACTTCTTGGGAACTGTGACTTTCTACTGCGTTGAAATTTGACAAAGCAGGGATCCCAGCATTGCTTTCTTTGCTTACCTCAGTTGTAAGATTTTCAGGTTGCGAATAGAGCACTCCAGATGATTCTGCTTCATCATGACTTTGTTCCTGGCAGTTATCTACAACTTCTGCCGAAGTCTCAGAAATATCCTGTTCAGCTTTAGTGCAGTTTTTTTTATTTCTTTCACTATGAGCAGCTTCACTCAGGGAGCGAACATCGTTATCTATTCCATGAGAATCAGTTTCATTATTCTTAAATTCATTCTGATCATAAGTTGGCATTTCACATCTTTCCTGCGAGCCATTAGTTGCTGCCTCAGAGGATGCCTGGCATTGAGATTCATCTGCTTCACATGAAGGAGGAACGTAAGGTGACTTTGATTCATGATGTTCACGGATGGGAGAGTTGCGAGTTGAATTTTCAGATGTAGGCACAATTTGCTTCTGGTCTGGCTGGTACAAATGTGCTGGAGTATTATGATTTTGATTTGCGTTGCATTCTTCCAATGCATGTCTGTTTGTTGATGACTGATGAGACGTTGTCTCATTCAAATCCTTCTGAGTATCATTTTCAGTGTAACTGCTAGAACAATGATAAGAATTAGGAATGGGCTGAGAAACATCATTGCTGTTTGTAATGGGCGTCGATGAATGCGGCTCGGAAATGGGCGCGTGGCTATGATACGCATCATGATTGTGAGGAGAATGAACTGAGGTTGTGGCAGTTTGGGACCCATAACTAGGTGACAGAGATGGTGGAGTTAGATGCATGTGACTGCTGTGGTTTGTATGCTGCGGTATTGACGGAGTATTAGGAGCAAGCTGAGGAGGCTGCGAGCTCTGTAAATGCACCGAGGAAGAATATGATTGATGAATATGTGGAGGGAGGTTTGGTGATAGATTTGGTGGGAGGTTTGGAGTTGAAGTGATTGGTAAATTTGGAGTTAGACTAGGAGGTAGACTTGGAGAATGTGTTTGAGGAGGATCAACAGATCCTATTCCACCTCTCTCAAGCATGTCCCTCCGATCATGCCTGTTATCACTGCTCTCACCAATAATACTTGATACAGAATATGAGGAAGATTTCCGAGATTTAAAGCTACTAGAAATACTTGCATGATGAAGACTCTGCTCAATTACAGATTGATGATCTTGGTGAGAAGATGTTTGATTAGTGCATGAATTGTAAAAATCATTGAGCCGTTTAGCTGATTGCTGAGATGGGTCACCATAACGTGGGTCAGGCAAATGAGAATTAGATATCATGTTAAGCTGATGTGATGACATAGACTGCTGAGATGGAATGGATGCACCAAAAGTTTGTGACAAAGGAGACGATGAGTGTAATGAAGGCATCACATTTTGATCTTTGCCCCAGCCCATGCGCTCCAGCGCCATCAATGGGCTATCAGGAGCATTGGACAGAGATGATGGCCGTCCTGGGCTATGTGTAGCCATATGAGGAGGTACAAGTGACTGGCTCGTATGACTTGAATGTGGTACCCCATACATGGACATGGGTGCCTCATGGACTGCTTTCATGTGAGCTAAACATTCACTCATCAATCTGAATACTTGGCCACATAGCTGACAGCGACGCATTTTGTCCAAATCTTTCTTGCAATCACCGTGATCAACTGGCGGACTTGGAGTAGCAATATGGCCTCTCAGAGAGCTGGACAAACTATGAGGGCTGTGAGAAGGAGCAATGGCAGCGCTCATAGAAGAATTTGTGTGTGATGGTAGTAATGAATGAGGTGAGGAATTACCAAGGGCAGAATATTTGTTGTTGCTGCTTCCACTGCTGCCACTTCCTTTTGAGAACATGGACCCTGTGAGCCCCAAGTCTGTTGTGGGAGCCTGGAGTCCACCAAGAGATGATGGAGCAATACTTGCAGCACCTCCAAGTTCAGAGCCATAGCCTAGAGTAGGTGTAAGCCCAGCTCCTAGGGCATACTTGCCATATCCATACTGATATCCAAGCCCATATTGCTGGTAATACATGGAATTGTTCAGATTTGGAGTTGAATATCCTGCCATTCCAGCAGAGTAGCCAGCCATAGCTGCAGGGGATTTGCCATAATAAGCACTGGGAGCTTGAGAGGCCAAGTCTGCTGGGTAGCCATTGTAGTATGGGAGGGCAGAAGGAGGCATGTAACCAGGGTAGGGGCTTGAATAGCCCCCACCACCACCACCAAAACTGTTGTGCATTGAGTTCATCTCCAGCAACACATGTTCAAACTAGCATTCCTTTGATTTGCACACATAGCGCACAATTCTTCAGCTTTATTCTCAAGTATCTTTATGTTTTTGGAACATCACTGGCAGCTGCACACCTGCAAAATCAAAGAAATTTTTAGACATGCGAACACACTTGAAATGAATTGAAACCGGCACCAAATAACCTCTTTTTCATTGGCAAACTACTGTATCAGTTCCAAGGGACAGAGTTTGTTGATGTATTCCTAGAAATCAAAGGGGGCTGAAAGAGTAAATCACTGTAGATACTATATTTACGGTATTAAAAGGACATGTGACAAGAGAGAGTGACTTAGCAAGGCTTTGCTCCAGCACAGAGAGGTTTTGCTAGGGAGGCTGGGTGGTGACTGCTCTGTCAGTGCTGAAGGCACTGCATAGAATGGCTAGTGTGATGTCACTGAAGGTGACATATGCAATCAATGAAACAGCTGGCAGAGATGATGTGAATAAGCAGGTTAGTGCCAGACACTTCTAAAAAAAATACATATTTATTTTTCTCAATGCTTTGGATCTTCTAATTCAACCTTATTCACCCAACCAAAAATCAATAAAAAATTTAAATTTTATAGCTATTTGGTAAAATTACATACAAGTGTATTATATACTACGTATTGTTGACTTCATGTTCACTATACAGAGCAAATATTTAAAATTCTTCATTAATAATGCATGATAATGATTATCTAAAGGAACCATATTCAATCAAAGTTTACAGTCATCCATGCAGAGTTGCATGCTAAAATGCAGTAGGAACTGCTTGGCAAGGAAAAATACAACTGAAGAATGCATATTCTTCTCAATGGACACATACTCATTACTAGAATCATTATAAACTTCATCAACTATTTAATAATGAAAAACAGTACTGTCAATAACACTAAAATCTACTACTAATAATCTACTGTGTAAATTTACCAATAACTTATCTATCCCATTGAAGTACCTTTTACTATTATGACAAATGTGTCAGAATCCTTCAAATGGAAAAAATATATATATTTTCTAAAACAATTGTATAAAAAGAACATTTCAGTCACATTACTAGTTGTGAAATTTTATTGTGTGGCCCAATGATCACAGGTGACTGGGGCAATAGGCATCACTGATGGTAATAAATTGATTGATTGAGCCATCAATAAATGGTAGTAAAATGTCATAGTTGAATGTTTAAAGGCTATTATCTTATTTTTCAGATGAAAGTTCCTTTTAAAAAATGGTGTGCAAGTTAGCTTTTTAGGAAAACATTTTTTTAAAAAATCCAATTGAACTTGATCACAGATAAGAAACATGAACAAATTTTAATGCAGCAAGATTGGCATAACAAAACACTTATGAGAATAAATTTAGGTCTAGAAAGATAGTGCACATCATATTATTGGGTACATATGAGCATCCTGCAGATTTTAGTGGTAGGATGTAACTTAAGAATATGAAATAATACCTATGAAGATTGCTAGAGGACAGGTTCCTTATAGATCAGGAATATGACATTCACATTTTCATCACAGACATAGCACATGATTGTGCTTCAGAACCACATTTCTACTAATCAATATTAATACCTGTTTTTGTTCAAGCTACAGTGTTGGAACATTTTAAACATGAAACATTTCATTTTGAAAAGTTTAGGATTTGATTACGAGAAATTACCTATTACACATAAGTAAAGCAATTGATACATATTGTACATGGATGTGCATCACATAAACACTTTTTGTAATTGCAGGAGTGATTGATCCATCCAGACTCAATTGATAGATTAATTGTGATTAATCTGGATCATTATATGCCATCCAAAGTAATCAGTATTTATTACTGGCACTGACCATTAGCTTGGTGGTCTTTTGTCTTACAGAATTTTGTAAAAAATGTCATCTGAAGAGAAAATAAAGAACAAAATTGTTACTAAAATTTTGCTCCCTAGTCACATATTTTGGATCAATTTGAAATCACTTGGCTCAGTCAATAATTATGAGATCCAAGATAGTTCATCAAGCAGATATCTTACAGTTAGATTTTTGCTGCAAGGTTCATACAGCTTCAAAAAATGTTTGGGAAACTCCATTTATGATTTGTGGAAATTTTAGTTGCCATATAGAGTGTAAATGCTACAGTCTACAATCTCTACATACTGGGGCTCTAGAGCATACACCTAACTGGAAAACTGCACGTTAATTAGAAAAATACACCCGCAAATCAGGCCAATTTCTACCATTCCAATGACTTTATCTTCATTCCTTTAGTAAAAATTAAGAAAAACTGCCCTTTTTTACCTGCAAATTTTGAAAAGCACCCATGAAACTATCATTTTTGCCTGCAATTTTAAGAAAATTCTGTCAAATATCCCAAACTGGAGCATACAATTGTTCAGCAATTATTTTTACATGATTCATTATGTAATTATGAAGAATGTCAGAGAAGACTGTGAAGATCAAACATAATCTGATATTGGCATTTTTGTGCTTTTGGCTCTGCATAACTTAAGAATTTAACCCTTTCGTAACAGCAATGTGCTCTACAACTTTTTATTCATATTTTTCTACAGAATCATCATGAACTTGGACTGAATATTGCATCTCCGTAAAAAATAATTAAATATATGTTAGTGGTAAAAATTAAATAATTGGGGCTAGAAAATCCCAGTAGTATATGGTTCCAACTGAGGTGACACAATTTGTGACATCACTGATTTTGATAAAAAAAACATTATCAAAAAAACATTAGTTTGCCTTTGGCAAATGCGTGTAATAGCTTATACAATAACATATCCCAAAAAGAACAAATATTAATATTCCTTTAGACTGGACATATGTAGGCGTAGGAGTGTTTCTAATGTCTCTGTAGTTAGCTATGCCTTGAATTTAGCACTACATGCAAGTTATAGAGAAAATCATTGAGCGGGACCTCAGTCCCATCAGACATCAGTCAATTACTTTTGAGTTGACATAGGCGCAGGAGTGTTACTCATGTGTCCCTGTAGTTAGCTATGCCTTGAATGGTATGCTGTGTGCAAGTTATGGAGTAAAACATTGAGTGGGATGACACAGTCCCATCAGTCACGAAAGGGTTAAGATAGATATATATCATTCAGTTGAAATTACTTTCTATTTTTTCACAAAATTACAATTGCACCAAAAGGAATTAAATAGATTTCCTTCATTTTTTAAACAAAACTATAAAACTGCAAGTTTCTACAGTCAATGTCAGTGAGACTGTGAGACAGTGACACAGGAATCTCCCTCCATGCAGCAGCCAGCAGATGGTGCACTTCTACTTTATACTCCGCTAATAGGCTAACTCGGGTAACTCAGTCCTTTGTGAGTTCGCATTACAGTCCTTGACTACGCCTAGTCAACAACGTGAACAACCACAATGGTATAATACTGAGCGATAAAACACAATGTAGTAGTTCTATTCTTTGAGTTTGACTAACAAATGAAATGCTGCAGTCATTTTCATGATTTTGATGTAACCTACAAGAAAATTCAGATTAAAATTTTTTATCAAGTAAATACCTAATTTCATTTGAAAGCTGGTGCCTGATGACAAGTTTTGGGACAACTCCAATGATAATTTAAAATCAAGAAAATATGTTGAAATTTACAATTGGATGAATGAATAGTTCCAACTTCCAAAAATAAATTTAGTCAGCCCTACTAGGGATCATATCCTATATCATTATTGCTTAGATAAATAAACAACTTAACTCTACCTACTATTAAATATTTTCAGATGAAAATGTCAATTGAGGTAGCGATAGCTCGCCGATAATATTGTGTAAATAGGCTAGCTCGCGATGTGCTAGGCCTTATCTGAATCAGCGTTAGACGAGTTAGGTAAATATGCACGAACCCGTAAACGGTAAGGTGATAAACCAAACAAACACTTCGATTGGTGAACAATTCCAATTAAAAGCATTCATCAAATTTCAAGAAACTACGTAAATTAATAGTAATATTGTTTATTTCACTGAATTGAAAATTAATTCGTCCTAAACGTCAGTTTCAACCCCTCAGACAAAGGCAAGCAGAAACAGGTGCATAAATGGGATAAATAATGAGCCAAGATGCAAAATTGACCTTTCCGCAGCAAAAAATATGCAATTTAACTTTTATTTGCAGAATTATTGAGCGTTACATCTTTTGTTTATGTTGAAGCGGTGTTATTATCGGCTCTGACATAAATTCACATTTCTAACATGGCACTTGATATCGAAATTGAGCGAGATAAGGAAATGATGCTACCAGCCTCCCGCATAGATGCTTACTTCTAACGTTGGCCAAAAGATGGCGTTGAAATGATGGCGCCGCCGCTCCAGGACTAAATTTGCAGACGCCATTTGCAGCCCGAGAGCTATGAGGGTATTCAAATTACTCCTTTTTGCAGTCGATGCATTGTTATTTTCACGAGTTAAAGATTAGCTCCTACCTAAAATAACCATATTCATTCAGAAATTTTCTCATATCGAGACTTGGATGATTACTGACACTAAAAATTCGCTAGTACTAGTAGTGCAAGATTCTATCAACGTAATGCGAGATCAGCAGGTTACTATAAGTATGAAATAAGCATTATAGAAGGCACTGTAATGAACAAATACAATTTTATCTAGAATTATTTATAAAATTATTCCACGTCTATGTAGAAATGCTAGAAATTTGACGGATGGGGATGTATCACGGAAATTTTTTCAAAGCGATAAACGTATATCTGCAGTTTATTATGATTCTATCTTCCAATATTGTCGCACGCTTCTCTAGAATAATTGCATTTTTTCTGTTAGTGCTGGGACTTTTATGCGTTTCTTCGATTGCCCCACGATTATTTTTGATACGATAACCACACAGCGACGTAAATCGGAATTATCAGAAGTCAGCGCTAACTTTAAGATAATATTTACTAAATTCCATTCCTTAAAAAATTGCTCACTAAACTACCCGCAAGATTTTAAGGCTGATTCAAATTGACATTCACTTCAGTTAAGTTCAGTATGTTGTTGCGAAATGCTAAACATCTAACTTATTATATACCATATAATATTCCATGTGGTTTTTAGATGACATAGGATCTGTATCAACTATGAAGCTTCTTTAACCAAAATTAATTATCTGCCAAGTGAGAAATGAAAATTCAACATTTTGTTAATTATAAATTAAAAATTTAGGTTAATTTTTATCTTGGAGGTAGTTCTTGAAATTTGGCACACCTGCAGTTGTAACAATAACACAGTGGAGTTGCGTTGTCAGTGGTGCCTAAGTCCGCAAATGTGTATATTATTCTTCAGATAACGATTTGAGGCAAGTGAAAATTTTGAAATGAACGGAGAGTAATTCTATAGAATTTATGCTCAATCGTAACTTTTAGTTTATCCACTGTACACTGATGCTCAAAGTTTTTGTGTCTTTCCCTATCCCTGGCAGGCTGGTTGTACTCCTAGCGTTACTGCGCTAGCCGCTAGCCTATTACATAAAACGCTATTAGTATATCTTTATTTTTTTAACAACTTAAAACCTGAGAGTTGAAATTAAATTTATTTGAATTTTTTCTTGAACCTTATTTTGCATATCAATTCCCTCCTTGAAGTTGAAGCAGGATTGAATGCCTAATTTATGAATTAAAATTCAAGCCTGTCCATTTTTCACATGCCAAAAGAACATGATCGAGCCGCGCGATTAAAAAATATTAGAAAAATAAGTCATATAAGAGCTGGGGCATTCCTGTAATAAGGAAGAAATTTGGATCTTGTTAAGAATAAGCTCCCCAGTCCACAGTATGACCTTGTTAAGTAAAAGTTGTTAAGGAAATGTGCCCTAGTAGCCTTAGCCTATATGTCCAGTGTCCTTTACAGTTTACAGTCCTTATAGCCTAATAATAAAACAGTAAAAACACCCCATCCGCCAACCCCACATTCCCCAGTAGCCAGTATAAACCTTTGAAAATTGGAGAGACCCTTTGTTTATTTATTAACTTGCATGATGCAATTCCATACTTAATATAAAAGAACATGTTATTTTGAGATTTTGAACCAATCAATGACAATCATCAATATTCACGCACCGGTCCACACTTCACACAGATCACACTTCACAGCACACTAGCTGCACTACCTCTCACAACTCACAAGACACAGTGACAGTGGTGTACTAAATGAACATTGGACAGTGTCAGTCAACAATAACAACAAAAGTTCCAAGGATCAATGGAAAATAAATTTTAAATTTTTAAAAATAAAAGTATCTATTGAAATTAGGTTTTAAGTCATTAAATCCCCACTCCCCAGGCCATAAAATATAAAAAATTAATGTTTCTGCATGCGTGCATGGATTTTAATGCTGTTAATATTGAAAAGCTTCAATGTATTTCTTTTATCATTTACAAATTTATCATATGAATTCTAATTTGGCTATATTCATTGCTCAAAACCACTTTTAGAAGCAATCGGTCCAATCAGCCCAATCATATGTATGGTAGACTAAAGTCTATTGGCATTGATTGCTAATGTAAAGAGCAAAATCATGAAAATGTCATATGTTTATGCAACTAATTTATCATGAAAGTTTGTATCCCCATATTTCCATGCTTTGTTGCAAGTGAAATCCATCACCTGAAATAAGATTTTTCAGTAAAATGTAAAAACTGTAGACACATGAATTCCTCTTTCCCCAGTCAATCTGTTGAAAGTTTTGGTAATAGATTAAGTGCATCCAAAAAAAGGGTGTTTTTTGCTTTTAATTATATGTTTTTTGGGATGTAGATTAAGAATCTGAAATCCTCAGTTGGCATCAGAAATTTTTAATGGAACCTGTTCCTAACTGGACCTAACCTGCGAGATTTTTGTTGATTGGCTAGGTTTTTCCGGCCGCTGGACGGACTCCAAACATAGAAAAAACCTATTGGCTAGGTTTTTGCGGCTGCTGGACAGACTCCAAACATAGACAAAACCTAGCCGATCAACGAAAACCTTGCAGGCTAGGTCCAGTTAGGAACAGGTTCCATTGAAAATTTCCAATGCTGACCACCAAAAACGGATTTCAGATTCTTAATCTACATCCCAAAAAACATATAATTAAAAACAAAAAACACCCTTTTTTTGGATGCACTTAATCTAAAGTAATACCAAAGTTTTCCAGGAGCTACAGCCATAAGAGAAAATTAATGTAGAATGAAATTATAGACACAATTTTATTTGTTGATATTTAATAACAAACACATATTAATTATTTGATTTTATAAAATGTAATGAGAAGTGCCCATGAAACATTTCTAGAATACTTGCTTTATGACATCACATGTGCCAATCATATTTGCCATGCATTATTTTATCCCTTTCCTTAGTGAGATGGATGATGACTAATCATTCTTTTCTTAATTGAAATGATGACTAATCATTTATATATGACTATTTACAATGTATATATAGGATTCATTATACCAAATTTTCATTTGTGATTGTGCTGCTAATAAAATTCCAATATCAAATTCTTTTTTGGCACAGTCTGTTCTAGTGTTCCAGCTATGTATTTTCCATTAATTCATTTAAATGATCAAGCAATAAAAGTTCTTCAGGGAAAAACACCATTATTATCTAGCTCATCGATTTGGATATTCTAAAAGCAGAGAATGTCCAGAGATGGATTATTGTTTTTGATCAATACAAGTGTATCAATGGGTACAAACTTATTTATTTTGGCTTGCAGCCATGACAATCTGAAATGAAAAATCATCCTAAGTCAACAGAAAAAAATTATAGCTTGTAAACTCTAATGTTTGTTGATTTGGAATTAAATTTGAAACAATCAATTTCTGCCTCCATTTAGGGTAAACTTTCTGTACATATGGATCACAGCACCTGTCAGTGGCCAGCAAATGAACTAATAGTTGGTTTACTTACCATGGTTACTAATAGGTTGTTTATTATGCATAACTGCAAAATGCAAGAGACATTCATTGGTAAAAAGGGTGAATTTTTGTTAACATGTTGTTAAACTCTGTGTTCATGCAAGAATGATAGTGATGCTGTCCGCAATATACCTATTTAAAAAATATAGGAGCAAATGTTGAAGACACTGTCTAAATTAAAGTTGATTTAGGAGAGTATTCTAATCTGTTGAGAAAGTTTATATGATGTTCAAAATAAAAAATGTTCCTTATGCATGATCATCATAATGAATTATTTAAATATTTAGTTTTCCTTATTAGCTACCGTAATCCAATTTAAAAATTAAGTAAAATTGACATTTATGTAGCTCGTATAGGAATAATTACACTATAAGTTTTTAAATACAGTAAAAGATTGCCTATCATTGCTTGCAATATTCTTGTTGAAGAATTATATGGTGACTTAATTATCTTTCATTGGATGTTTTACAGAATTGCTGTACTATGATGAAAGCATACAATGAAGAGCTAGACAGCAGTGCCAGCTTACCACCTTGCTATGTTTGCGGCACTCCTTGCTGTGCCCACTGCCTTCTGAATGTACGACAACCTTCTCCTGGAAAACCTTTTTTCCCGTTCCTCGAGACCCATGAACCGCCAGAAAATGTACAACCAATAACAAACGGCCAAGTTTTAGCTTGTAATTTGTGCTTCCAAATGCTTCAATTTCAGTGGCAAAATTACGAAGACAATCGTGTACCGCTCGTCAAAAGACTTTACTGGCTCAAACGGGATGACGGACTGCCGTATTCTGGCGTCGAAATGGGCATGCAGACAGAGTATGCTTCGCAGTTTCTGGGACTTACACCTGACCAAGCTGTCAGCGAAGACAGAGTGTCTGTTAGTGGTCCTTCTCGTCCGCACTTGTCGGGCATTGCTGCTACTAAACACCTCAGTCCCAGCCCATCGCGCTCCTTAGTAAACTCTTCGAATACGAGACTGCCACCAGCTCCCCGTACTATATCTGAGACCATTTCCCCAGCTGTTCGTGAAATTCCTGCCCGGGTTACACCCACAGTTTCTCCATGTCCACCCATAGCAGTGCCGATCAAAGCCAAACGATATTACGAACATAGGCCTATACCTACGGAACCTCAGGAAGAGGCCCTGGACCTCACAGTTGACCGCACTCCCAAATCAACAGTTGTCAGCTCAGAAGTGTTGGATCTGAGCATGCCTGATAAAAATGCTATTACTGAAGTGTGCTATGTGTGCGGCGAGCATTATAATCGAGGTACACTTATTAGCATGTGCGCTAAAGAACTCACTCCAAATCGGCCGTATTTCCCAAGTCTGATGTTCCACGCTCGTCCCAGCAAATCTCACCCCATGGAGTCGTCGGGTTGCGTGCAGGGTTGCCCATCGTGTTACACTTCCCTACTGACGCAATGGGTGTTTTTCAATTCAAAAAGAATCGATCATAAAGCCCGATTGTATTTGCTCGGTAAGTTTTCAACACCTGGTGAAAATTCCATAATATGTTATGACTGTAATCAACCGGTATTTTTTACTGATGCTAAAGTGGCGTTCATTACGAACTCGGAGAGTAAAACCTGCCCTGCTGACGTAGGGAAGCGTGCCTCTGCTATTGAGTGTCCACAGTACGTCTCAAGAGCAGCCAAGGCAGTTTGCTGCCACTGTCCCTCCGCTCAGACCACCGACGGCTCGTCCAGCGATGCCAGCAATGAAACCATCGAGGTTTGTGAAACCGACTCGCCTGAACCAAAGAGACAAAAATTAACTCAAATTCCTCGAGAATTTTCGACGGCTGACAGGCCTCGTAGTAATGGCAGTTTCATTAATCTCCCGCCAGGTATGAGCTCATTTGCAGAACTGGCTGATTTAAGCTCCGGCTCATGTTATTTGTGTCATCAAAGTCACGCTAAACACAGCATGCACTGGGTCAGCATGTTTCCTGATACCGCTTCCAGCGATGGAGTTTATTTTCCCTTCCTTAAGAATATTCACCGCGTGAAAACAGGGATCATTTCCGAGGACGGCAAGGTGCTGGTTTGTTCGTATTGTTATCAGCACCTCAAACGCCAATGGGACGACTTCGAGTCCCGAAATATCGCCATGGAGAAGCGCGTGTTCTCGTGCCGGCCACCGAGCTTGGGGTCCGTGTCACCACGCCTCACTCCCAATATTTCTCCTCCCCATTGCTCCCCTGACCAAAATATTGGCGAGGAATCCTCACATCATTCATCACAGCAAAATTCAACGCTTGCTAAAAGTGAGAGTGCTCATTTTAACCTAAAGGAGCTTGAGATAGACATCTCAAAAAACATCAACAAGAACTACGCGCTGCCCCCGATCTGCACACAGAACCCCCTTAACATCCCAGTCAAATGCTACTTATGTGGCTTTCCTTCAGAGCGCGGCGAGACATACGTTATCAGCAGCCGCAGGACCTCTACATGTGATATCTTCTTCCCCTTCCTAGACGCGCACAGCTCTATACACGAGAATGCTTATGCCAGCAACGGTAACTACCTTGTATGCACATTCTGCTTCCATACTCTCGTGCAGCAGTGGCAGCGCTTCGAGAAGAAGCGTGTTGAGCCTCTAGGACGCTTCTATAACACCTACAGCTTCAAGTGCTATGTGTGTTCCCTCAAAACATACAGAAAAAGATTACGTAAAATCAGCGTAGAGGTGAGTACATACCGACCATTATTTCTTTTATTTTATTGTATTAGCGACAATATTTGCCGAGGTGTTTAGACGAGCTCAAACTTCAAATATTTCATCACCATCAATAATATAATCGCCATTTGAGCCAGGAGCGTATTGTCTCTTTCGTCATGTAAACAAAGACAGGTGTTCAAATAAAATCATATATTGAGCTCTTATTTAACGCATGTACCTACCGGTATCTATGTTCGATGCTGCACAGCATGTACCTATAAAGTGTAGTATTATTCATGATGAAATATTCGAGGGGAAACTGTGTTGTGTCGCAGGACTTCCCCTTCTTGCGCGGCCACGTGCGCCCCTACGACGCCCTCGTGCTGGCCAACGGTATGGCAGTCGCCGTGTGTACTGACTGCCACACACGCATGTGTGACCAGGTGTGTAGTGTGTACTGACTGCCACACACGCATGTGTGACCAGGTGTGTAGTGTGTACTGACTGCCACANTGTGTATAAGAGACAGGTGACCAGGTGTGTAGTGTGTGTGACCAGGTGTGTAGTAGGTGTAGGGTGTACGGTATTAACGTGGCTGTTGCCGTAGAACTTCGTACGTGGAAGATTCTACCAAATTTGCGTATAAAGTGCGTTATCTTTGCCGGTTGTCTGTCCAAGGCTGCCGTCGATTGTTACGTAGTCTGTCCAATAATTCCTGATATTTCCAGTTGTCTCGTGTAGAGCCTGAAAATATGACTGCGCGTATAATGTTTGCACGTTATCTATGCTCGTATCTGTAAGAAACTTCCACTGACATGAACCTCGTAGCGTCCAACCGTGGTGCCTATCACGAGACGTTCATTCAACTTCGTCGTGGCCTAAGTCCTGGCGTTTTTTCTAATAATTTTCTTTAGTTGAAAAAACTAGCTACGCTGCGAGATGAAGTTCAGTAAGGTCAACCGTCGAGTTTCTAGCTTGCCTGCATGTGCGTTGCGCGGCCTGATTGCTTCGTTTAGCTACACCTTATCTTCAATATTCGCAAGTTCATCTTCCCGTTGCAGTTCAACGACATGGAGAGAACAGGAGTTCCCGTTGACAAACGCGAGTATAATTGGATCAAAAAACCTGCACCTCCCCAGTACCCCCCACTACAAGTGGGGGCGGTATTCCTGCCTTCGCCCCTCAGCCAGACGCCCCCTCCGCCGTCTACTGAAGGAGGGGTTCTTGCTGGCCCTCTCTCCTCAGGAGCCGCTCCTGCTTCAGTTCTGGTGAGTAACTTTTAACTCATGAGATGTGATATCCTCTTGGATGTTCTGGAGCCTCGTATCCTGTAAAAATACTCCTCTCGAATTATCTGGAGCTTCATAACCGGATAAGATTTTCTCTTGAATGTTCTGGAGCCTTATATCCAGGATAAGATTTTCTCGTGAATGTTCTGGAGCTTAATATCCGGATAAGATTTTCTCTTGAATGTTCTTCAGCTTCGTATCCTTATTAGATCTCTCATGGAGCCTCGTATCAATGAGATGTCTTATTATTGAACGCCGAGCGTACCGGGGACTTGAGGGCAGAGACTCGCTATACGGTCTCTGGTCATCATACCAGTTATACTACAACTTTGCTGCATAATGATTAGTTTTATTCCACGCCTCAATATAAACCCTAATTTTATTAAGAATAACACTTTTATTTTGGTAATTTAGTATGGAAATGTTTGGAACCCAGCATACCCCAGGGTTTAATTAGCATGAGTTTTACAAGCATTTTTGCTTGGAAATTGACATGGAAAATTGATTGATAGCTATATTGAGAAAGTTTCTGCCTCATTAAAAGAGTTAACATGTTTTTCGATCTATGCCTAAATTAATAGTTTGATTCATTTCTTTCTCATGTTTGACATTGGCCAGTGTTCCACGTCCTTAACTATATGTAGCTTGCGTGCACCTTAGGTGCATTTTATTGCATCATGTGTCGGCATTGTTCGCTGCTAGTGGCGCCTATTACTTGATCCGCGTCTGATGTGCATATCGCAATTCAGACGCTTCGTGTTTCTTGCTTATACTTTTGTATACTTGTACTTTGTAGATGGTGAAATGCGCTCCGGATTTTTTGTGGATTGATGTTCCATTCTTAACTTGTAACGAAATACTTACACGAAAATTAAAGGTTACAGCGTAAAACACGCTGACGAGACTAGGTTCGGGGAGAGGTCTTGTTCTCATAGGAAAAATGTGTCTGCCCATCTTTTAACTAACTTTCTGGACTCATATTTGATTCAAAATAAACGTTTAATTAAATATTCAGTTATACATTTCCCTCAATTAAAAAATATCTTACAGCGACCAAAGTTTAAGAATTAAACCCTTTAATTATTTCCAATTACATTTATTCTAAGTTGAGGTTGAGTAGTAACACATTGGGCTGTAAGCTGACCGCCTCGTAGACGAAAGCTCAGTTATCACCGAAATATCACGCTAATACTCGTGTTTTGTGTCTTTTTAGCGCATTTTCTCATTTATGAAAAAAAGCGCTATTGTGCTCGTCAAGTCCGTCCGTCTGTCTGTCTGTCCGTGACCTCAAGTTTTCGTCGACGAGAAAATGCGCTCTCTATCACTCACTACAGTGAGTACTGAGTTATATTTTTTGATGTATAAGCTTGGTCTGGAACGGCGTTGCTTGAGCTAGGCTGTAACCTCAATAATAGATGACATTTGGTGCTGCTATAGAGCAATACAAATATCTGCAGCCTGCAGTGAATTCAGTGACGCCAGACTAATGCTCTTGAAACAATTGCGTACATTAAATACCATTTGATGACTTACCGGTTGAACAATTACCAATTTTATTCATCATTTAATACCGAGACACTTCCGATCAGCAATTGAATGAAATGGTAGTCAACATGAAAAATGTGGCATGTATCCTACCCGACCGTGTTTACATCGACGCAGCAAGTGTGAAAATATGTCCAAATGTTATTTTTGTTGCGGAGTGAAGTGAGGGTAAGAATGTAGGTGGATAATTTGGTCGTGTTGTTGTGACTGTGGTCGAGCCAGGCAGGCATGAGATGGGGAGAGGTATAGAACATCCACGTGGCAGTTGAAAGCTTTTTTGCTGTACACTGCTTTGCTGTACACTGCTTGCTGTACACTCAGTGTACAGTCACCATCACGACCACCACCCTATCGCCAGGTGCTGTGCAAGCTCAGTGCTCTCACTCGTCCAAGTGGTCTTCAGTTGTGGCATGTCGCTATTTTGGCATCATCCCTGATGAATACTTGCGCCGCTAGAGTCTTGTTGAATTGTGTATATATATAATTATCATGTCGTGGGTCTTTCTATTGTATTTTATAGGTTGCGTGTAGCACCGTTGTCATTAATAATTTTGCGATGGTTGTTGAATTGTAATCTATGCTTTTTCAATCCTGTGATTCGGCTCGATGCTTGTTTCTTATAATTCTTCTAATTAGCTTAATTACTGATAATGGTGGACAAGGTGTGGCAAAATAAGGCATTGAGTTGCAAGACCCTTCTGGAGCCATACTTACAAAATTTGCTAAGTGAACGTAAGTACTTACGCTCTATGTAGGGTATATATAGGATACGTATATAGAGCGTATAAAGGCCCCTCTTACGTATAGGCCCAGGCCCCATACCTTCAAAAAAGTTAAGAGATCGTAAGTTCATCAGCTAATCATTGACGGCATTTCAAGGAAAATCCACCAATCATAGACGAGAAAATAGAGCGTAAGTACTTACGATCTCTTAGCTTTTTTTGAAAATATAGGCCGCAGTGCAGGTCCCTAAACCATGACATGCTGGTACCGAACGCATTGGTATTCGCACGCTCTACCTGTACATTCATGGTGACGTGTGTTGCACTTCTATTACTTTCTTCTCTGCACTAACTGGGCAATAGAAACATCTTCGCTACTACTCTGCGATCTATCTTGGTTGAACCACTTAATCTGATCCGATATCAAATGCTTTTGCAATGTGAATATAAACAAGTTTTTAGCGCATTTTTTCATATATATATATATGGAAAAAGGAACTATTGTGCTCGTCATGTCCGTCCGTCTGTCTGTTTGTGATTTCACGTTTTCGTCGACGAGAAAATGCGCTCTCTTTCACTCACTGCAGTGAGTACTGAGTTAGATTTTCTTGTGATTGATAGGCTTAGGCATTGCGTCCTGTTGCAGCTTCGCTCGTAACTAGAAACTGTTGCTTCATGGAAGATTTTCGATGACATTATTCAGTAATGATTTCAGTTGTCTGCAGCTCCATCGCAGACCTCTTACGTATTCTTCATTCACGCGTCTGTCCTCTTACGCTAATTCCGTGGGAAATAATTTGTTAGAGAATATACCGTGTATTTGGCGAGGCTGTGGTGGCTAGATGAACAGCAAAACAATTTGCTGGCTTAACAGTAATGCAAACTTCTCACGTCATCATTCATTCCTTTCTTAAAGTGCAAGATTTAATCTGCTTGCACTCAAGTTCGTGTCGTAATCAATCTCTAGAAGAATGATTTCCTTGCTCACCGGTCGTACTTTGGATCCACGAGACAGAGCTCATGAAGCTATGCAAGTCACGCAATTCATCTTATCTTTGTGAGCGTTTACGTTTCAACAGAAATCTTCATCAGTATCACGAGTGTTTATACGCTAAAGCGATGTGTTGTATCACGCTGTCATCGTAACGAAAACTGGATCGAATCTGGCTTCAACCGGTTTCTGTGCACTCAATTGCTTGCTTATCATATTCTACGTATTAGGTTTATCACACAATCACGACCTTCACTGCTTTTCTTGGTTTAGTCGCACGTTGTACTTTGATAACCAAAATTTACATTAATTATTTTGCTCAAGTTGCTCACTAAATTCTCGGTAACAATGCATTGTTTTGGCTACAAACTACCGTGCAAAAGACTGATGAGATCTTCACTTGCAGGGAGCAGAAGCCTCTACTAGACGGGCATCTACCAGCCCCGGGGGCGCAAACTCTGGCTTTGCTACTTTTACTGCAGCGTCCGCTACTGCGTCTACTACCACATCTGCTCCAATGGCTGCTGTCAGTGGATCAGCTGCTGTCAGTGGATCACCTGCTGCCAGTGGGTCAGCTGCTGTCAGTGGATCACCTGCTGCCAGTGGGTCAGCTGCTGCCAGTGGGCAAGCTGATACCAGCGGGCCAACTGACGCTGCTACCGGGCCAAATGCTGCTGCTAGCGGGCCAAGTGCTAGCAGTACATCTGCAGACATCGCTGTTAGTCTCTCGTCTGCATGCGTGAACAAGGCGAGCAGTAGCAGCACAACTCTGACGAGCTCAGCGATAGGTGACGTCCAGCGTCCTTTCATCCCAGCCAGCTCTGCTAGCGCTGGTAAACTCGGCGTGATCGAACAACAAGCGTTACTCAAATGTTTACTGTTGGCCTTGTCCTAACAATCAAAATAAATCAATCATGATTAAATCCAGCATTATTAAACGTTAAACTATTTACAATTTTGATAACGTAAGGTACCATTATATTATGTTGTATTATATTATTATATTATATGTATTATATTATATTGGTACTATGTATATCTGATGGATCGCTTGACGTGTAATGCAATCTTTGTGTTGCAGGCGGACGACCGGACTCGAAACAGTGCTGCTAGGACTCGGCGTCACGACGCGGCCGCTGTGTTTACATAGCAATACCACACCAAGACCATGCAAATACCTGTCATTTATACTGTTGTGTTCACCAAGCATTTCTTCTCTTGCGTTCACCGAACATTTCTTCTCTTGCGTTCACCAAGCATTTTAGCATTTCTTCTCTTGCGTTCACCAAGCATTTCTTTTCTTGCGTTCACCAAGCATTTCTTCTCTTGTGTTCACCGAGCATTTCTGGAAGACAAGATAATCATATTTCTGACGGAAATCAAACTGGCTTGCAAAGTCTTCATAGGTGTCCCTCCTAAGTCAATATGCCATGAGTGTGCAATATTTACGCTGCAATCGGAGCGAGTTTGTTGGAGGAGAAGCTGCAGCCATGTTGGCTGTTCTACTCCTACTTGAAACGAATGAGAAGCATAATGAACTGATGTAATTAACAATATATTTTATGCATAAGTTAATATATCCAAAGCTTTATCGTTAAATTTACCTACTTTTATTGTTGTGTAGAGTTAATCGTGGGGTTACAGAATCGTAGGCATAGCTTGATCGCCCCAAACTTGTTACAAATTTGCAATCAATTTTGTACGTAATTTTAGCCACGGTGTCTTTTGTGAGAAGCCTTGCCTCAATGAGGCAGTACATTTTAGCAGACTTTCATATTGATGTACGGGTTCCGCTGATGTCACTGGAGCTTTGTGCCTCTTGCCAGCTTCATTCATTTCTCTGCTGTTTATATTCGATTTGATTTGTTGTACATAAAAAATCTTGACAAAATGATGCTTGAATCATTCAAGTGAGAAAGCATCTTTCAACTTCATTGCAATATTTTGTTATCAAACAGCACTTATTAGTGTGTAATTCGATGAAGTCTCGGCTCCTTTCCTCAGCATACAGTCAGCGTATCTCAAAGTATTCAAGAGTATTCCACTCTGTCTCTTCACTTCACTTGCCTGGTCCAGAATAATTGCGAGGAACTTGCCGTCAACTGGGGTGACTTTGGCCACCAGGGGTGACTGGCCACCGGGGGTGACTTCGGTCACCGGGGGTGACTTGGGCGACACCTACAACAGAAACATATGGCAGCAAAACAAAATAATAAACTTTGGCCAAAGTGACTGGGGTGACTTTGGCCAACGTTTGCTGTATCATTTTGTTTTGCCGCCATATGTTTCTGTTGTACGTGTGGTCGAAGTCACCCCAGTTGATTATACTCAAGTAGTTCGCTGCTTGCTGTGTGGGGAGAGTGAGTGGCGTGCATGTAACCCCTCCCTCTGTACATTTATTCCTGAAGATTTTCTTCTATTTCCTTTAATTGGTAAGGCTTTTTATGCCGCACTTGATTTGTTTGTCACATCGTACACTTGTACTTGTCATACAAGTCGCACATCATATTTGTACATCGTACTTGTCGTTTGTGTAGGCTGAAGAAGTAGCAATTCATTCTTGTATTCTCACTCCTCCTCTGTTTTGTGTGTATTAAAGCGGCACTAACACACAGGTTTAGGTTCAATGGTTTGGGCTCATAAAGCACACATGATCATTGCTTAGGGGTTTTGCTTGTATAATCTATAATCACGATTTTCTACATAATGTTGTTGAACGTGATCATAACACGTCCAGATTTGTTGTGTGTATTGCCTATGGTTTTAAAAGTTGAATTATCCTCGAATTTTTTAGCTAGTTTGTGGCTGCCAAAAATAATCTTTATAATACACCAATGNAGATATTGGTGCAATTTGCCAGATATTCGTAACCTACCTAATATAAAAGTGAGGCTAGTGTCACCGAGTGTCTTTTCCTAATGTCGCTTGTTATTGTTGCGAGGTACCGGCGAGGCTAAACTTTGTTAAGTATTGCTTACATTATGTGTTGTGATGCTACGAAACGAACTAAGTTATTGTTTCTATTACATCCGTTAGATATTGGTGCAATTTGCCAGATATTCGTAACCTACCTAATATAAATGATTTTATTCGTGGCTTGTGGAAAGCATAGTTCACAAGACTGCGCCGGAGTATTTACATCATATAAAGTAAACTGGCCAACTATTATTAGTTAACTTCTTGAACATTGTAGAAGATGCACCACGTTTTTTTTTTAGTGTAGCGAGTGAGGTTGGTCTTACTTTTAGAAAATTATGTTGCACATGTTAATTATGTAATGGATTACCGTATATAAAATAATAAGCTTAATACGAAGTCCCGTCGTTATTGTAATTATTAGTTTCATTGTTGACGCTCTTTGAGTGGCTTACAAGCCACTGCGGTGCAATCGTTACAAGTCTAACTTTAGTGGCAGCCAATTGATTAAAAAATTTAGTGAAGTGTATTTCATTGATTGTGAAAATGTTTGATCGTGTGAAGATATATCTATGCGTGTGAGCTAAATTTGACTTGTTATCTACGTTATAAGAATACTATATTGCTGTTTTATTCTGGAATATTTGTGACTACTTTACGTCAAACTCAACATTGTGCAGGTGCAACACAATAATAAAGTCCGTAAATGTGCCCCAGAATTCAATGTTGGATGCATTTCCGTTTGTAAATGAATGTTCTGCTGCCTCTGCGAGGTAGGACATGAATTCATATGCATAAATGCTGCATAATAATGCTGTGCTTTTAAGCCACTGCCAGGGCTTTGTATAAATAGTGTTGTATGTTTCATTTTATTGGTGTTGTTGCTTGACGTGTTGCCGTGTCTAACCCTGCGTACTAACCTCGCCTCTGCTTCCGTGTGATGTTTGAGATCAATTCTGATTGAGTCACTTTTGACGCAATATTTATATATCCTTCATATTGAAGATATATTAACTGATTATTAGTACTCTATTGCTGTGCAATATTAATTTGGGAACGCTGGTGTTTTGACGCGGTCAATTGTTTCTTCCTGTACCACAGCGTTTGAATTTAACCGAAATATGATTTAACTCGTGTAGAGCAACTACCAAGAACAGTTTTACGTTTCCACCTTGCCGCTATTTTTTTTACCCAATTCTGATTGTTAATTTACTAGTGGCACTTGAAAAAGTTACGTCGGTGCAAATAACGACTTTTTATCAGCGTAAATTTGAGCCGTGATTTGGTTTTGACGAGTTGCCTTTATATGGAATGATTTTGTATCCACAGCAGTAAACTGCGATCTACGGACGCCTGTTGCAATTTTTGCATCAATGTTGCGTACAATTTCTGTGAAATTGTAGAATTATCTTTAGCAGGATGTATAAATGTTGATTGATACCATCACTTCTTGATACAAAGTTAAGATCCAATACCTCCTTGTATTTTTGTTATTGTTATAAATAAAGTTCAACGATGCCTGATGCTCTCAAGTTTCGAGGGAACAATTACTGGTTACAGGAAGTTCAGGTGATAATTATAAGGTTAAAATAGTATCAGATGCTTGATAAATTTAGCACTAAAACAGGATTTTCTGATCACATTTACTTTACTGCTAACTATTATCAATTCCTGATAAGCTTTCTAATCGCCATCTCCTGCAGATTCGTATTTTGAAGACTCGTCATAGTTCGCCTGTGATGGACTCAAAGAATTTGTTACAGCGTATTATTTATACGTATTATTCATATGTATTATTGAGGAGCAATACTTCAAACTGGTCTGGAACTTCGTCTGGTAGAATGCTAGTCATTTTTACCGGTCGTTGGCAATCATAATTATTTCAACGTACAGCCTCAATTTGGTGTTGTTGCTACATGAACTTTGCAATGACCATGTACTTAGTAAAGTTCTGTTAGAGTTTTTTTATCATAACTCGTTCTCTTTCCACAAGCATTAAAGTTGACAGGTGTCTCTTGATCCCTTAAATGATTGTTGATAATACATGAGCAAGAACAATTCGATTAAACTATTCACTGATGCCTAAGATGTATCATGAGACTGGGTTTCTCTAAAACAATTTGAGACTGTAAGACTTGCGCGCTCTGACTTTAACATTGGACGGAGTAGTTATTTTTTTAATACTTCACATATAATGAGCGGCTGTTACTTTACGCTGTTTTACTTCACCATCGTTAATGGTGAAGTCGTTTTTTATTCTTGTGCCAATTCTAAATGCTTGGAACGTATGACACCAAATCATTTCTTCAGAGATTGTGAAGGTTTCTTGTTACGGGTTAAAAAGATTTACCTGGAGCCGCTATTCGCTGCATCTCCCAGTAGAAATATACAAAATAAACGATACAATCCCCCTGATTAAATGCAGCTTATACAATTTAATTGTTAGGAAACTCCACTTTCCTTGTTGGCAGGTTGATTTGTAATTTATGTAACGTTAATAAATGAAATGTTTTATTTTTATTATTTGACCATACCATTGTCAGCTAGCTTGTCCACTCAATTCTTTGTTTTGCTGTAATGTTCAGTTTTTTAGTAAAAATTTAGATTAGATTGATTAGACTATCAAGTGAGTTGTGATTTTCTTTTAACTTATTTCTATTTTCCTTTGTAGGATTCTTTACTTGCTTGTAAGTTGATTTAAAATATTCAGATTATGTATAGGATTTTTGGGAGCTTGCTTGTTTGGTCTTTAAATTTTTCATAATCATTTTAATGAGTAATATTAACCGGGAATCTTACATCTCTTTTGTTATATACCAGGAAAATATTTGCTAAGTTTGGCACAGTGCGCGAGTATAAATGTTTTAACAACCACCAAGTTACTCTTCAGTTCAAGATGAATATTCTAATTCATCATTGAATCAAAATAACTTATCCGTTATATTTGTTGCGCGTTTGATTGTCCTGCGTTTTTACTAGATGAATCTGTTGACGAAAATTCAGATTCGTAAAATTCACATCTTGTCTTACATGCAAAACTTGACATGGACGAAACACGACACTCGACTGGTGAATCCGTCACTCCTTGCATTGTCTGTGCTACAGACCTGTAGTCTGCAGTGCAGGTGCAGTTAACAGTCTGTACTACAGACCTGTAGTCTGCAGTGCAGGTGCAGTTAACAGTCTGTACTACACTTGTAATGTTATTCTATTGTCTGTTGTTACGTAGTTTCATCTTCAAGAATCGGCAACAGGCCATGGGCCTATTTCTTCAGTGCCGACACTTCTATTCTATTATTCTTGGCGAAGGATGTCGTGGGTGGCCCGCTGTCGCGGCCAA